TTACATCTACTTTATCTTTATCTCCATATCAGATAATTGATCATCCATCTTAATGGTAACTTGAGCTTCCATTTCTAAGCAAAGGCCGTGACACATCAGTTGACTAGTTCATCAATATAAGTAGATCTCTCATCAAAGATCGAGTATCTTGCATTGTACACCAGATATTAAGATCTCTGGCTACATTTTTTTCCTGTAAATGTTTAGACTTGCCACTAGAAATACCCACTCCTTTTGAATTGTGGCTCTAAACAATCTTATGATGTTGTTGTTAATCCTACAAAAAAATTATATGCCATCAGTTGTGAAGTAAAAAAATATAAAATAAATAAAAAGATATGAAAGTGTATTCAATTTACGTAAGCGCTCTTAAACCTAACATCAATCTATTGTTGGTTCACTTAATGCTAATGTGTTAATTCTATAGCTCAGCAATGGTGTTTCTCATCTAAGTAATTACTTTTTTAACATACAAAAAGTTCAATCAGTAATAATTACATACTTAATTCTAAAGCATTGAATAAATCATATCATTTTTCTCGTGCAACTGGTATGCAGAACTGAGCCACCAATGTGCAGAGAGCTAATCATGCCCTTGTAGTATGATGCTCAATTCGGTTTGCCTTCCTATCTCTTCCAAACATAATTAGGGGAGACTTAGGCTCTACACAACTAAGCTCAAACTTCTTCCCCAATCTAAAGGGGCCATATCCTGACTTGCACATGTCTGCAAACAAATCACACGAGCGGGTATCCCCTCTAATCTCAAATTTGCACTTAATCTATTGATTTTGCTATTGATCAACATTTCAAAGCCATAGGAAAATCCTAGAACTAGAGGCAAAAATATAATTTCAAGCAAGTGTTGACTCAATTACAAATAATATATAAGCATATCAATATAAGAGGTGAATTTTAAGTGATTTTAAGCCATTTTAGAGTATTTTAAGTTACATTTTTAAAGTATTTTTTGTCCCAAAAATGTCAAATTTCTTACAATGTATAATTGTAATAATAAAATAATAATGTAAATCAATACCACAAATAAAGATTCAAATTAATGTTCAAAGAGGGGTTGTATCATAAATATTCACTTGAAATTTCAATTACATAACAAGTTTTATAAGACATAGGATAATCTAAGATTTTTTTTGTTTTGACATTTAAAATTAAGTCTAATACGTCACAAAAAAAATTAATGTAATAAAAAATGAATTTTAATGCAGTATTTAGCTCTAAAAGCTAACAAATATTTGACCAAGAACTTTAATAAATTGTTATGATATCATCTAAACTTTGAATCCACAAAAATTACAATCAATATAGTGTGATTTATTATGATGAACCCAACAATAATACAATAAGAAAAAGTCTTTATCCAACTTAGTGGAGTTGGCTACATGAATCCTTTTTCTCCATTAAGCCATATTGAGTGTCATATTTTCATTTAATTCTAATAAATTAAGATCATTTTTATACAACATGACCAAGTCTTTTTAGGTCTACCTCTACCTTTCTTAACAGGATTCAGATCTAAAATATCTACTCTCCTAACTGAGTCATCAAATGGTCAACATCTAATGTAATCAAACCATCTATTATGACTCACTCTAATCTTGTTAGCCACTGGAGCTACACAAACCCTTTCCTGAATATATTTTTTTTTGCATTTTATCTCTAAGTGTAAGGCCAATGAACCACCTACACACATCTTTTAGTTTATTAAGTATTAAGATTCACAAACAAAATATCCTTTAAGCCTAAGTTGCCATCCCCACAACAACAAAATGATGCGTGGCCGTGTCATCCACATCCCCTTGATTTGACACTTCGCATATCAATTTCCTCACATTTGATATCAATCATGTCACAATATTTTCTCAGATGATGTGCTAAAAAAATTGAACTTAATTTATTCGACACGTAATTTTTGAAATATTTTATCAATTAATTCATAGAACTAATTTACTATCAAACAAATCAACCACCCCTTTTCATCTTTTTGTGAAATTTTCGCTCAAATATCAAAATTCATGAAGAGAACTAAGCCCTTACTTTTCATTTTTATCAAATTGTCAATAGTTTGATTGTGACGTGTAAATACATTTACATAAATATCATACGATTCTTGTGTATTTACATATAGAGAATATTTAAATTGAAATATTTACTTATATAAAACTTTAGTATTTCAATCCGATTAAAATATACAAATGAAAAGGCGTATTTCACTTAAAAAATTTATTGTAGTGATATTTTTTTCATATGATTTAAAATCTTAGAAATTATACATAATAATCATATCAGAGGTTGATCCCGCAACCGTGTTTATTAACGAAACAATATGACATGTTAGTATTCGCAGTAAAAACACGATAAACAAACGCGGGACATGCGTTTTGATAGCACAAACGAAACAGTTAAACTGCCTCAAACACACTCTTAATTCGTTATTCGTAACAGTACCTGGATATATAGATGGAAGTCTCTAAAAGGACCACGTGGTCCCACATTGGTTACAAAGTTGGATATTAGAAGTGCAAATACATAAAAGTCATTTTTATTAAAAAATTTCATATGCACAAATTTAAAAATCATTATTTTTATTTATTTTTAAAAGATCATAATTCTCTTAGAAAATAAAAAGAAATAAAAGTATTTGAATTTCTTAATTTTTCCCACCGCTAGGGCTGTCAAAACGGTTCGTTGTTCGCAAACAGCTCGTTAAGAAGCTCGTGTTTGGTCGGGACATGCGTTTTGATAGCACAAACGAAACAGTTAAACTGCCTCAAACACACTCTTAATTCGTTATTCGTAACAGTACCTGGATATATAGATGGAAGTCTCTAAAAGGACCACGTGGTCCCACATTGGTTACAAAGTTGAATATTAGAAGTGCAAATACATAAAAGTCATTTTTATTACAAAAATATTTTATTGCATTGTGTTCCTTTTTATTTCTTCTCTCATATATTAACTTATTGTTGAATATTCATTCAATAGGACCATATTTTTGTAGACTTCTATAAGTTAAATTTATAAAGATAATATAATGATTGACACTTATCTTAGGGGCCCCTTGAGTGGGAGTATTTTCAATATACTATAATTTTTTTGTATGGATTTTACAAAATTATGTATTTGAAATGAAGAATTACAAATACAATGTAAAGTATGATTGAATTTGAAGTTCGCACTATAGCTCATTTTGACTTTAGAATTCAATTGATTTAATTGAATTTGAATTACACAGTAAAATGCTATCAGCAAGCTGCCACCTGCCGACCACCAACCACCTCATGCCATTGTTGCCCACCGCCACTGTCTTCACAGCTCGTAGCCTGTCATCCCCAACTACCAATTCGCCTCCCCTTCCCCTTGTCTATCGTCATCGGCCAGCAACCGCCGCTGGCCTCCCCTCGCCACCCTCGTTGTGACTACTTCC